CCTATATACTGCTTCTATGTCATTGCTAAGGGTGGGTAGCATGCATGGGAATAAAGAGGCAAGGGAATTGCACTGTGTCATCCAGGTAGGACACAGCCCGGCCTCCTGCCACTGACAGACCCTGTTTCCATAATTTCTGAATGAGAAAGCCAAGGCATGTCAGTAGTTAATAGGCTCTGGAGGAAAATGAAGGTCCCTCAACACTGCAACGTGGCATACTCCTGGGAAGGCTTAACATCTACATAATCTAAATGTTGTAGTGGAGACCATCAAGTTGGGGTGCTATTGGGGGGTGGGGCTGAACCTCAGAGGCAAAGCCATTTGTCAGCCTCTTTTTTTCTATGGATAGACAGGGAGGGCTTTTCTCCAAGGGTCTGTCCCACCTTCAGAAAGCTACAGGGGTTCATGTGGGATCCTAGAGTCTAGCACAGTGCTATGCCCAAAGCGGTGGCCCCATGGGTCCTGAAGGATAGAAATCTCAAGAGACAGAAAATCTGGCTCTCGAGGGAAATGAATTTCCATCTTACAGGAATAGAATGGGAGTATCCGTGTGTGGAGCAAGGAAATAGCATAACCCGAAGGCAGTTTAGGGGAACTAGCAAAAGTTGGAAATATAGAACGGCTTTGTAACTGGGGGAGGAACCAAGAAATCTTAAATTTGCTTCCTCATCTATACGTGGAACACGGCCCCACAGGACCCCAGGCCTGTAACTCTGTTATTCCTTAAGTAACATGTTTCCTTTTCTTCAAGTACCATCAAAGGGCACCCCATCTGCCTCCAAGGCGATGCCATGGACTGGGTGGCATCCTAACTTTGTCTTCTGCTGCCAATCTTCTTTTCAACTGTAGCTTTCATGCATGTATAAGGCTCCTTTCCAAATAGAAAGAAAAGGAGTGAGTCGTGAAGCTGGTCTTCTCTTGTGGAAAACGTTGGAGGGAGTCCTCAGCACGCCTGTGGTCTCCAGAGATCTGTCAGTCCAACTCGGGAGTGCGCTTGACTCGCTGTGCCTCCCACAGAGCACTCCAGCCCTCCAGCCCTCCTCGTCCCAGGGCCACACAGCCTGCTGGCTGCCTCTATCATCCTCACCTGAGTCGCCCTGGGGAACACACCATCATCGTGCCCTCAGCCCAGGCACCTGGGACCTCCAGCTGGAAATCCTCAAAGACAGGTGGTCCTCCTCCTTCCTGAGCGCTCCTGTTTCCCCTGGCAGGGCTTGGATGTTATTTTTTGGGGAGTGTTTGTCTCCCTGCCGGTCTCCCTCACTATCAGATGAATTCCTTGAAGCAGGGCTATTACTTGTTTTGTCTCCCAAGTTACTAGCATTTTGCTAAATATTCAGGAGAACTAGCCACCTAGAGAAGATACCAAGAGCCCATGGGCACGTTTGGCCACTGTCTGAAGAATCTGGCATCAAATTCCAGGCCCTTGGCAACTTCAAAGCTTCCGTATGCGTTTCAAACAGTTCCACCACTGGACTCGGTGCTCACCACTTGTCTGTAAATAACCTTGCCCCCAAAGTCAACACTAGTCTGATAGAAAGGCAAACACAATGAGTGTAACACTACTTACAAATACTGCGGAACTGCTCCTTAGTAGAATAACATATTAGAGCTTGTGATGTAATAGTATGAAAACAAATATGAATTTTAGTGAGGTCTGATTCAATTATTGCTTTGTTTAAAAAAAAAATTATCTTAAAACAAAAGAAACAAGAAGAAGGCCAGTTAGTTGCTTTTTGATATCTTTCTTTTTGTTTTCATTTGTCTTTCTCATGGCCAGATACTGAACATTTTTCTCATCCAGAAATGCAGGGCACCTCGCTAGTGAACGCCCTCATTATATTGCTTTAAGTGACAGAAAGAGGACAGCTGGCGTCTTCCATGATATACGCAGCATGGGTACAAGGAATGAGAATAAATAGGATACATCCCTACATGTCAAATTACAAAACTGCTTAAAACTCTGCAATTGCGACTCATGCAAATACCACGTCAGGTCAATTTAATATTACAAATACTGCATTAGCGGTGCTTCTATATCCCTTTTCATAAAAAAGAAATTCTCACTCACTCCTGAAGCTGGTGAACAGCTTTGGAGGAAATAACTGTACACCCAGGTGCCATAACCCATCTGGAAATCTAGCCACACATACACACACACACACACACACACACACACCCTTGTGAACATACACTACACAAATGCACAAAGGTGTACACATATATACCCCATCTTTAGGATTTGTAACTGGTTCCAAGCCTGCACTTAAAATTTCTATAATTTTCTCTATCACCCTGAAAAACACTGGTTGCTCAGCAAAAATAATCTCTCTTAAACGTCTTTTCTCTACTCTTTACCCACCCTTCCTTTTTCTTTTCCTACCTTCATGACTCTAGTTTCCCTTCTGATTGATTCAAAACAAGCTATCGTTCTCCCTATTACCTCTATAAGGCCCACTTTATAATACAAAATAGCTATAAACACCTTTGTATTTCTTATCGTCTACCTCTCTTGAGTCAGAGTTTCCCCTTTTTTCAATTATTGCCACTCTAAAAATACCCCTACCATCTTGACAAAGCAGTTCAATGTGTAGATCTTATCCATGTTCATGTACCCCATCCCATCATAAAAATAGTTGTCCACTAAATATAGTTTTCATATGAAGAAACATAATTATGAAAATGTGTTCTCCTAAACTGCAGCTCAGTCAACAGGACAAGCAGACAAAATCCTAAAGCTAAAACAATTCATTTGGTTTGGCTTTCTTCCCCCACCTTTCTCAGCCTCCTCTTGCAGAATAGGTCACATCTGCAATGTGGCTGTCTTAGAAATACAGGTTTCATGTATTGCAATCATTCACTGTTTCCAATTAAAAAGATGTGTAAGAGAAACCGAATCACAGCTGCCTCTTTTGGACAACTATAGAGAGAAACACCACCGATTTCATGGCAGCTGGGGAAAAAAAAACATGGTCAACCCAACACCTCTGATGTCATGAGCAAGGAATTGTCAGAGAAACATGCTATGCGGTGTCGACCGCACAGCCGCTGCTCTCTGAGTGGCCCTATCTCTACTGCGTGTCCCCACCAGCCATCAGGCCGACAGCAACTGTGTTGATTTGCTTGCACTGCCTTTGCTCTTTTGGATAGAACACGGACTAATGAATCCGAGAGAGTCTTCTTGGAGTCCCAGAGAAATCTTTTTCTCTTATGACTCCTGGGTTTCACTCAAGAGTTTGATGGGTGGACTGTCTTTTCACTTTATTTTTTCATCATTGTGTATTGCAGCTTCGGGTCTACATAAGGATTGCTGAGTTTGTGTGCACTTTAATAAATAGTCCATTAAAATGCTTTGATTTGAGAATTTCTTGGTTTCTTGGTATCCCAAGCACCAAAGAAGCTTCCTGGGCCAAAGGATGTTTACTCGTTGTCTTCTTCCTCCTGGTTGGCATAGATTCCCGCCTCCCAGCGCAAAGCCAGAGCGCTCTTTCTTCGGTTTACTCGTGTGGCCTCAAGGACCTAGAGAGATAGGAGGAGAAATTATGCAGGGCTCATGGTTGTTAATTATATACACAATACCGATTCCTCTGTCTCCTTTCTTTTCATTCCTTCCTCCTATCACACCTATGAGAGGAAAGTAAGAAAGTATCTTATCCTATTAGAGGTGGACAGCCGAGTGGGACAGACAAGAAGCAACAGCAGTGGAGGATTCTGGGTAGGCATTTATTTCAAAGCCCAAATTCATTCCCTGCTTGGCTTCTAGTTTTCAGAATAGAGCTGTTCTGGTTTTGTCTCATGTTACTGGAGATTTCACCTCCAGCCCTTTCTTTGTGTTTTATTTTGAGACATGCTCTGTCTCCCAGTCTGGGCTCAAACTTGCAAGCTTCCTGCTTCAGCTCCCCAGAGTACTGGGAGTTCAGGCATTCACCACCATGCCCAGGGAGACAGCTCCTTCTTACAAAGTGCTCTGCAAGGTGTTGTGAACTAGACTTGGATGGGTGTCAAGTTGGCTCCCCCACCTGGCAGGGCTGCTGGTGCTCCTTGTGCTTAATGCCTGCCGCACAAGTGCAGAGGCAGCAGACCGCTACATGCTGTCCAGCACTGTGCTGTGCAGCCACGATGTGTGCTGCAGAAATTGCCCTGTCCACGCCACCCACTGGGGCAGTCACTGTGTGTGTGCAGTTATGGAACACTTGAAACAGGGCCATGTGGCCCTGTTAAATTGAATTTATTTAATTTTAACTTCGTTAAGTTTAAACAGCCCTATTTGGTTAATGGCTATCACATTAGACAGCACAACTATAGATCCTCTTAGTCTCTCTCATTTATTTATTTATTTATTTATTTATTTATTTATTTATTTAGTACAGACTCTTGCTATGCAACTCAGACTCATAGTGATCCTCCTGTTTTCTGCCTCCCCAGAGCTGGGATTACAGGCATGCGCCACTACACTCAGCTTCAGTGGCCTGCTCAGTGTGCCCAGGAGTGGGGCTGGCATGGCATGCAGTACCTGGGATCAAACCTGGGTCCTTGCGCTTGCCAGGCAGGCGCTTAGACAGCCGAGCTATTTTCCCAGTCCCCTCTTAGTCTAGTGGACCAGTGTGGAATCAATCTATGCTGAGCTTGGTGCATCTGCATATGCTGAGATTTTTACACAACAAAAATCCATTTTGCCGTAATTAAACACAAAGTCATCAAGTGAAAAAAAAAATAGCTTTCTGCATCAATAAAAAACAACTGCATGTTTTGATGTAATTTCAGGGCCATGTACTTGAAAACTAAGTCTTAGAACACCAGGGGAAAAGTGCGCTCTGGGTGGGGGGTTTGCTCTGTTCCCTAGAATGGTCTGGAGTGGGGACCTGCTACATCCATTCCAGCTTTGGTAGGGATGAGATCCAGATGAATGACATTAGGTGGCCAACGTGTGAGAAATGGTTCTAGTGACGACATCTAGGGGAAGCAAGCCTGTGTGTGCCGACCGAGTGCTCTGGTGTTAGCTTAGCATGTTGCATTTCTGGTTTCAAAGAAAAGTCCTGTACAGCTAGCAAAGCTTGAATTTTTAGGCTAGGGCCAGTGACACTGGCCACTCCAGAGGAGCACAGGATGCAGGTCACAGCACGATGGGAGAGCAGGTGTAAGCAGATCCTGGAAGAAACGGCTGGGGCTCCGTCTCAACATACTCCCTGTGAATGAACTACTGCTGGCAGCAGTGTGCTTCCCTCCTCAGAGGGGACAGCTGGACCTGCACTGGACCTGCACCAGGCTACGTCTGCTGAGTGAATGATGCATTACTGGGCACTTACACCATGCCACCAAATGACTTGTGCACAAGCACACTGTGCTCTAAGCTTAACACACTAGTCAGAAAAGTGTGTGGCTACATGAAGGATTTTTCGGTCTAGTGAGAGGTGGCATGGAACTGAGAAACAGCACTGGACTGTAGTTGTAAGGGCTTTTTGTTTTGTTTGGGGGTTGTTTTCTATTTGCTTACTTGTTTGTCTGTCTGTTTATTTTGAGACAAGGTCTCACTGCATAGTCCAGGCTGGCCTTGAGCTCAAGGCCCTCCTGCCTCCTCCCAGGTGCTAGGGCTACTGGCCTGCACTGCCATGCTCAGCTCCTACCTTTCATTTGTCCCTTGCTGTCTGTTTTATATTTCAAGTTGTTTTTTTTTTTTTTTTAAATCAACAAACTAGAAACTGTGCCTGCCCTACTTGACTGCTTTATCACGAGGTGGGCTAGATTCTGATGTCAAGGAAGGTTTAAGTTGAATTCCTAGTGATTATGTCCCTTGTAAAAGTCACCTACTCTGGGTCTCAGTATCCCCACATAAAACAATAAAAACAATAGTTGAGGGTCCACCTGAGGAAGACGTGAGACAATATATGTGAAGTACTGAGTACAGCTCCAAGTGCACGGTACATCCTCAATGACTGGTCTCATTATGGGCAAGGGTTTCCAACCATGCACTGGAATGCAAGGCATTTTTGTAGACACTGTACATTGAGCAAAATGGTCATCTGCCTTTCAGACTATATATACAAACTGGAAGTTTTCTATGAAAGCTGAAAATACATCTAATATTCTGGCGGGGAAAAGCCCCATCCTTTTCAAGTATTCCTCACCTGATTATTTAAATTCTGGGTTGCTTTTTCTTCTTCTTCTTCTTATTATTATTATTTTCATTTATGTATTTTGGTACAGGGTCTCACTAAGAAGCTCTGACTTGTAGTGATCCTCCAGTTTTTGGCCTCCCCAGCTCTCGGATGACAGGTGTGTGCCACCACACCTAGACTCATTCGCCAACTCAGTGTGCCCCAGGGGCAGGGCTGGCGCAGCACTGGGGATGGGCGTGGCAAGCGGGACCCAGGATCCAACCTTGGTCCCTGCGCTTGCCAAAGCAGGTGCTTAGTCCGCTGAGCTATCTTGCTGGTCCTAAATTCTGTTTTAATGCTCGATGGTCTAGAGCAAATTTAGTTTGTCCTACTCTGCAATTTGTCTGTCCTTTCTGCTTATAGATATTTACTGCGTTTGCACCAAATGTCAGGCCCACTGTTCCATGTTGCAGATAGAATAGTCCCTTTTCTCACTGGGCTTGGTCACAAAATGTCTGAAGGACAGACAAATAATCTTTATAATTAGGCAAACATTTAGCATAGCTTGGGTTTGGACATCTAATACTCAAGAGCTCAAATAATTCACTTATTGTACTCTCTCTTATTAATCATTCCCATGAATTTGTATGACCATTTATCCCTAATTTTTGATGGCACATATCTACAGTCCTCTCATGATGGTGCAGATAAAAAAAAATAAATGAATCTTTATAGAGAGAGCTGTAAACTTGGTAACCAAGGTGTGTTTATACCTCACTGGCAAAAAATAATGAGAAATGACAGCTCAAAACTCTAGCTGAGTAAAATAGTTTTGCTAAACGGTGAAATATATTTCAAATACATATTATGCTGTTGGCAGGAATCATTTGCAATAGCCACTGCCTGTGATAGCGCACCAGCCCTGGACCCAGTTCTGCTCTAGGGAGAGAAATTGTTCCATAGGTGAATCAGGAAATATATAAGAACATTCCCTGGAACGTTGTTTGTAATGACAAACAATAATAAGAACAGCAATTAGAAACATGGAAACAACCTATGTTTCCATCAATAGGAGAGTGAATAAATGGTCGTAGGCTCATTCAGCCAGATGCGAGACACCAGCTACCGGAAGTGCACGAGAGCCACAGGCGTTAACAAAGGCACATCCAAAGACAGTGCAGGCCGAAGAGCAGCAGGTACTGCAGGATGACTCAGCAATAAGTGCTCAATGGTTGGAAAGCATGCAAAAATGTAGTGTCGCTCCTGTGCACCAAACGTGTGGTCTAAAAACATGCATGGAAATGCACGCCAGGGTCAAGAATGGTTACTTCAAGGACAGAAAACATGTGACAAAGACAGAGAAGTGCAAACCAGGAGGAGTAACGAGAGGGCTTGAACTGCATTCGCAACATTAACTTCTTTTGAAAACATTAAACAAATACTGTAAGAATGAGCAAAGCTGGCCAGGTGGATTTCGCTGCATCATTATATTTCCAGAAGTGTGACACGCCAGCTCCATGACATCAGGAAATTTGTTTTGCTGACTGCTGTGTTCTTGGAACCTAGAACAGCCTGACACACAACAGAACTTCGATGATGATTTAGCTGCATACTTCCAATAATTCTTTTAAGGGGCCAGGGAGATGGCTCAGTAGAATAAGCACTTGCCTGGCAAGTGCAAGGGCCTGAGTTCAATCCCTGGTTCTGTAATAATTTAATAGATAATAAAAATAACAATAATAATAATTCTTTTAAAATAAAAACAAAATAGAAATAAAAATAGTGTGTTTTCTCTTAAGGTTTTTTTTTTTTTTGGTACCTGACTCAGCCTGCCCTGGGGGCAGGGCTGGCGCAGCATGTGGTACTGGGGATTGAACTATGGTCCCTGTGGTTGCCTAAGTTTGCCTAAGCAGGTGTTTTAGACCACTAAGCTATCTTGCTGGCCCTCCCATAGGTTTTTGAAATCTGTGTACAAAGGAGTTGTAGGAGAAGGAAGCAGGCTTCAAAGCACATCATTACTTAAGAAAGCTTCCAGGACAAAAACAAAGGTTTCAAGACTGGAGGGAGGGGATGTTGACAGAGTGCGTGTCTGAGATAGCTCCTCCTGCATCCATGGGATGGAGCGCTCAGTATTTGTGCTAGGGTAGCAAAGGGCTGGTCAGAACAAACAGCCCAGCCTGGTGTGCTGCACTGTTTTCTTACCAGACCGCAGTATATGTGCTATCAACGTGTAAAGAATTGAAGGAGTCCGCACAGTCCACGCTGTACCCTCCAGTTCAAACATCTTCCGGATCTACTTAGGGGTGAAGGCTTCTCCAAGCCCACCTCACCACACAGCAAATGCAGCACCACATCTCACTGCTGGGGGACTCCAACATTCCAAGGGAGTCCCTCAGTTCAGAAAAATCAGGAAGAAATCCACACGGAGACAAGCTGTTTTCCTTGCCATTCGCATTGAACACATCAGGAAATGGCAAACCATGACCGCATGCACCTGCATCAAGCATGCATTCAGACCAAGACAAACAAGTTGAAAAGTACCTCGGAAGTCACCTTGCAAGACAGTAACTTAGAGGTGTACTGGTAGAGAGGGAAAAGATGGGGGTTAGTACACAGTGAGACACGCTTGGAGGATGCCCCCAGCTGGAAGCCAGCAGGGCGCAGGGGTGGGCAGAAGAGGAAGGGGCCAAAGGAGACCGTTACACACCCACGCCAACACTTGCTTCATCTGATATTTATTTCAAAGTCTGTATCTCCCAGAACAAGTAGATACCCTGTTATTCATTAAAAAAAAAAAATATCAGATAAGCCATACTTCGTTAATTCAAGATGTTGCTTTCATTTTCTGCACTTTTGAATTAACAAGATTCCTTCCCCTCTGTGTACCACCAGCTTCTCACAACAAGGCTCTTGTTAGCCTTTTTGGATTTGCTGAACTGTCCAAAGAAACAGCCTTTTCTCTTGCTGTGGGCATCTCTGGAACTGAAAGCAGTCTTGTAGCGCTTGGAGCCTTCAAAGGAAGACTTTAATCATAGGCAGGAGTTGGCTTGTGTGCAAGATTTGAGGAGGCAGGCATCCTGGATCCCACCTGAGGGTGCTCTGCCAATGGCAGCCATGCAGACGTGGGCGTCAGAACCTGAGGGTTGGAAAATATTCCCAGGAGCGGGGTGGTCTATTGACGACCACATAGAATTAGTTCCTGTGCAAAACTCTCTTTTACAGGTAAAGCACAGAAAAAATTGGCCCAACTATGGGAAATGAAACAGCAGGTCCAGTTCAGGGTGGCAGCCGGTAGACCTACCACTGGCCACTTTCCATGCAGACTGCTTAGGGTGGTGGTGGCGCCACTGGGTTATGGGTGCTTGTCTTCACCAAGGGCGGGGGGGGGGGGGGGGGGACTCACACATCTGTGATCATCGGCTACTACCTCCGTGTCACACTGAACAGGTATGGTTCTGTAGTGATCAGGCTAATGGAGTGGGATGATCAGTTTAGGGTACTCCACTCCTTCCCTGTGGTGTGAGAGAACTGGCAACTTGAAGCATTGCAGATTGTAGCTGAGCTTCCTGAAGAGCCTGGATAGGAATGAGGCACTGGGAACGGGTGCCTTCATCTTTCCACCCAGTGAGATGTTCTAAGTCTCAGTGCCTATTCTCACACAAGGCCAGCCCCCAGCTTTGACATTAGCCAGGTGAGTGCTGGGCTTTTTCTTCTGAAGACAGGCAGAGAGGGATAGAAGGCCTCTTGGTATTTAGGTGTTAGAAAGAAAGAGAAGAGATGAAGGAGAAGGGGTGGAGAAGCAGGGAGGGAGGGAAGGAAGGAGTGGATGGAGAGGGAGAAAGAAAGAAGGGATAGAGGGTGGGGGAGGGGAATGAAAAGAAGGAGGGGGATCCTACTGAGAGTATCCCTGTGCTGCAAGGGACTAAGCACCCAGGAGGCTGTGATTCGGATTCAGGCCAGCAGCCCTTGGAATGAGGAAGGGGAAAGCACCGTGTTCAAAAGTCTCATTGCCTTGATGACCCTCATCTTCACCTTCCGAGGCTCAGGTCAGGTTGGGGAACAGCTGATCAGAAGAATACCTAGATGCATAACAGCCTCATGAATCAGAGTTTTTCCTACCAGGCTTCTTTGGTGTCTCAAGGAAAGCAAACCAAGTAGCCCACCACTTGGGCCCTCCAGTCCGAATGTCTTCTAGGTTTGTGAGCCAAATCTTCTCCAACCTCAGCTTGAAGCCAGCTCCTTTGCAGGACACCAAGAAGACCTTTAGGAAACTGTGACTCATCAGTCTGTGCTCAGTTGCATGACTGACTGGAGATGGTGTCAGACCCAGATAAGGGGCATTTCCACAGAAGATGATTATTTCTAAACGGGAAAAACCCACAGCAAAAAGGGGGCTACTACATCTGTGTAGACAGAGCACAAAGGCACCAGATCAAAGGCATAAGTGGTGTCCAAGACCCGCGACCCTCTCCACCTGCTCACTGTGAGGACAGTGCAGGGTTACATCCTCCTAGGACAGAGGTGCCCTTTTCTAGTCCATGCAGAGATTCTCTAAAGGCTGGTAACTAGCCCCTGGCAAAGGTGGAGACAGTAACTCTCCTTTCTCAAAATTAGCCAAGGACTCCATCAATAAGGGGGCTGAAGTCTTGAGCTGGAGACACTCACTGGTGACCATGCAGAACAAGAAGCAGGGCCCAGGGAGTGAAGACTTTGATCACTAAAGGGAGCACCTTGCTCAAGCTCTGAGCTAGCAAGAACTATGGTCTGGAGGCTAGGTGTAGTGGCGCAGGCAGGCAGGAGGATCACTGTGAGCTTGAGGCCACCCTGAATTATATAGTGAAATGAGAGAGAGAGAGAGAGAGAGAGAGAGAGAGAGAGAGAG